TTTTGAGAACATGCGAAAAATGATAATAGATCTCATTTTAAATAGTAATGCATAAGATAATATTATAAAATTGAATTATTAGTAAAATGATGTGTAACTTATTTCTTTTATAATTCCTTCAATTCATTAAATAATGAATAATAATAATAATAATAAAATTCTATTTAGGGAAGAATTTGATCAATTCAATATTTATCTATTGGAATTATATCTATGATTAATTGTACATTTTTAAAATGTACATTTATTAAATGTACAATTTTAATAATATTTATCTACCAATAATATTAGTTATGCATATAAATTTTTAATATTAATTGTATAATTAATATATACATATATAACATTCTTAATTATTATTAACATACAATTAGTATATCATTATATATATTTAATGTACATTAATATATAAATTATATACATTAATTTACAATTAATCATAACATATATCAAATTTTTAATTAATTGCTCCTATGTATATAAAATTATACCATTAATATATACATGTTATTTATACATATTTTTATAATAATTATACAATTAATATACATATAATTCCTATATACTTTTTTAAAAACTATTTTTTATATTATATTCACACTAATTAAAAATTATAATAATAAAATTAAAATAATTATAACACGTAAAATAAATTATAATTATAATTTATTAATAAATTTATAATTATAATTTAAATATTTTAATTTAATAAAATAATATGAAAAACATATAAAGAAATATAAAAAAGATTGGTAAACAGGTCCAAAACTAGTATTTAAGTATACTTTTCTCATCTAATGAACTCCTCCAGTTTATGTGACGATAAAAAAAATATGATAAATTTTCTTAATTCTATTAAATATTGGATTAAATATGTTTTTAGTTCCTAAACTATTCGTCGTTTCTGGTTTTCGTCCCTCTTTCAAAATAAGGTACAATTTGATCCTTATTCTTTTCAAAATTTTGGTTTTAGTCCTCGAAAACTAATACCGTTAAAAATGTGGTAGTTTTCGAGGTTAGTTTTCGAGGACTAAAACCAAAGTTTCGAGGACTAAAACTAGAGTTTCGAAAAGAATGAGGACCAAATTGTACCTTATTTTGCGAAAACCAGAAACGGCCAATAGTTTAGGGACTAAAAACATATTTAACCCTTAAATATTTATAACTCTATTATTCTTATTATTATTTATTATTATTATTATTTTTTTTTTTATTATTATTATTATTATTATTATTATTATTATTATTATTATTATTATTATTATTATTATTATTATTATTATTATTACATTATATAGGGATAGGGAAGAGAGTAAGGACGTATTTATTCTAAGAATAAGTAAAATGAATTAATTTAAACCTTAGATCTTATCTTATATTAAATCTTACTTAGTACTCTTATATAGAATAATTCTAATTAATTTCAACCTTAGATCTTATCTTATTATATTAAATGTTACTTAGTACTCTTATATAGAAAGAATAACCTCTCTTTCTTAAAGAAATTTATCTTAACCATAATTCTAATTCTCTTTCACTCTATATATAGATAGGATATTCAAAATTATTAATGATCTTTTTTTTCTTCTTTTCTTATCATCCATATATGATAATTATTTCTCTTTTTCTCGTCATCAATATAAGAGTTGTCAGAATAATTATAATAATTTATAAAAAATATAATAATAAGAATAAGAATAAAAATAAAGAAAATTATTTTAATTAATATTAAGAAGTGACCTAACTTAACCTCCACAAAACTGGCTTGGTGAGGTTTGCACCTCACTTATATATTATAATTTGGCCTTATCCGTAGTCAATGTAAGACTTTCAACACACCTCCTTCATGCTGAAAGTGGTTTTTTAAGCCTAACTCAACCCCCACAAAATCGGTTTCTATGGTGAGGTTTGCACCACACTTATATATTATAATTTGGCCTTATCTCTAGTCGATATGAGACTTCCAACACACCCCCTCACGCCGAGCTATAGACATCTCGAGCGTGAGAGTAAAATTAATGGGTGGTCCGATAGTAGCCCGACCATGGGTGGAACATAATGCTCACATAGATCTAGCTAGAAAAGACTCCAACCATGACTCTGATAGTATATTAGAAAGTGATTTTAAGTCTAACTCAATTCCATAAAACCGATTTGTAAGGTGAAGTTAGTATCTCACTTATATATTATAATTTGATCTTATATTTAGTTAGACTTTCAACAATTAATATATATATTTTAGTTTTGGATGTGACTGTTTTTATACGAAAATAATTAATATGCATTATGATTTATTAATCTGAATTAATGAGTAGTATTATTTTATATGAATATAAATATTTTTTTTTTCAAACTACGACTCTTAAAAATGTCACCGGGTAATATCTAATGAAATTATACAAATATAATTATAAAAGAACTTCCCCTTTCACGATTCCTTCATTATTTTTCAATTAAAACTTCTATTTAAGATTTAATTGATAGAGTTGCAAAATTTTATTCAAGATTTAATTGTAGTTTAACACACTAAAAAATTAATTGAATCACAAGTAAAGATTTTATTCATTCAATTAATTTTAATATTAATCAAACTCAAATTTGGATTTAGACTTATTCAAATTTGAGAATGTAATTTAATTGCAAAATAATCTTAAATTACGTTTTAATGTTTAAATACAATTTTCGTTCATCTATGTAAAAGTATAATAGAAAGAAAAAAATACATTATAAGAATGATGATGACGAATGAAAGATGAATTTTGAAAATTCAACATCATTGAAATGTGAAAGTTGATAATAATACCTAAAATTATCTTATTTGAATTGTGTTAATAATATCCATTTATACATAGGATAATAAAATAGTCGATTAAAATCTTTATCAATAAAAGAAACAAGAGCTTAATTAAATAATGACAAACATTAACAAAAACAAAAAAAAAAGTGAAAGTCAACTAAAAATTTAATAAACATAAAACATTACAATTAATATTAAAAGAAAACTTCCATATACTATTTATCACATCTTAGTTACTTTAATTAATATAAAAAATACAAGAACGTTATAAATGTCAAAATGAGTTTTAATATCATATGTTGAAAATTATGTAACTTTTTATAAGTTATATATTTACTAATAAATTATATATTTCTTTTATATAATATTAGACTTAAATTTATGTCAAGTATTATAAAATCAAACTTAACTTTACGTTGAATATTATAAAATTTGATGTAATTTACGTTGTTGAAATAATTTTCCTTGAAGGTTTTGTCGAATATAAATTTACGTTATTGACAATTGATAAAAATACCAAAGATAAAATATTTCTTATGTAGTTGTACTAATATTAAGTTACATGATAAAATTGTCTAAGAACTATAAATATGGTTAAAGAAATCAACCCTAAGAAAAAAAATTGATGTTGATATGTGGATACGCAAACAAAGTTGAAATTGGTTTGAATAATAGTTTATTTATGTAATACTAGTAGAAACACATGTAATATATACATGTATGTGTTATTCTTTTTATGGTAAAAAACGATAAAATTATCAGTATAATTCAAATAAATAAATAAATAAATATGTAATTTATAAATTTTATTATAAAAAATTATTGTTCTAATATTAAAATATTATTAAGTTTAAAAAAATCAAATCAAAATAAAAACGTTTAAGTTTAGAAAAAGTTACTTAAAAAATAATAAATTAATTATTTTAGTCTAAAAAAATGATTATTTAAAAAGAAAAATTAAAAAAGTGTATATTAAAAAAAAGGAAGAATTTGCTTTAAATAATGATATAAATATTCATTTGTTACGGGATTAAAACAATTTTATCAATCTCAATCCAAAATTGATGATAAAATTATGTCCAATATATTTAAAAAATTCACTTTGGGATAAATTTATTAATTAGATAATTTTAGTAAATAATCATATATTTAGTAATAAAATTATTAATTTTCTTTATTTAAGTTAACAATTCATTAATTGAATAAGTATAATTTAATTATTAATATTTATTAATTGAATAATCGTAAGTTCATATTTAATAATTTAAATGAAACAACTTTATTAAATTTCTGATTTAATCATTATAATTTTGATAATTATTTGTGAAGTTTGGGAATTATTAAAAATAAAATCTACGAAAACTACAAAAAAGTTGGTCACATGATTATGCACGCAAAGTATACTGTAAAGAAAATTATTCTTTCACACGCTCTTTTATTTCTACACTCACTTTACACTGCATTTTATACTAAAATATTATAATAAAGGTAATAATATTTTAACACATTTTTTTGATGAAACGTTACATTTTTTATTGAATTTAAAAATATTAATATAACAAAAAATAAATAATGAATTAATAAAAAAATATCCCGTCATTCTTTTATTAAATTAAAAATATTAATATAATAACAAAATTAAGAATAAATCAATATATATATATATATATATATATATATAATATGTGTTAAAATATTATAAAAAAATAGTTTTTCCTATAATAATTATGCTTCTACAAGCCTGTGAATTGGATGTAAAAGAAAAACAAAAAAAATGAAAGTTTGACATAAGTATAGTTAAACTATATTTATTGGACACATCTTATAATAATAAAATATTAAATTAAGATATAAAATTTAAAAATAATAACAAAGCATAAATATTTACATTTGTTTGATATACGTTATAAAAATAATAACCATAAAATAATTAATTTTTATATTTAAAAAATAATAATAATAAGATAATAAATAAATGTAAAAAACTACGTTTATCACTTATCATTTCTGAAAATTAATATATATATATATATATATATATATATATATATATATATTAAATTATTGAATATAATATTATTAAAAAGTTCGTTAAATGAATATCAAATTATCATTTCTAAAAAAAAAAAGAGTGTGAAAGTATCAGCTTCCGCTATAAAATTCAGAGCCATTGGCACGCATTTTCCAGAAAGGTGTAAGCAAGATGGCATCAAAATCCTTCTCCAAACTCTCTCTGTTGCTTTTCTTCGCATCAGTTTCATTTTGCTATGCAACTTCTCGCTTCACTGATCACCCTGCATTCCCACCAAAATCATCAAAAGCAGAAAGACTCATAAGAAGCCTTAATCTATTCCCGAACGAACCCTTCAACAGTATTGAAGCTGACCACCTTCATAGTTTTGTCCCTGGTCAGATCGTCGAGAAGAACTTCTCCTTCCTTGGTCACTCTGGCCCTTCTATTGAAGACCTTGGTCACCATGCAGGTTACTATTCACTTGCTCATTCCAAAGCTGCAAGGTAAGTAATATATATAAATCTATCTCTATGCAACCTTCTCATAATAATATCATGATAACAAATCTTCCTTTTTGAGTGCCACGCAGGATGTTCTACTTTTTCTTTGAATCACGAAAGAACAAGAACGATCCTGTTGTGATATGGTTGACTGGAGGACCAGGATGTGGAAGTGAATTAGCTTTGTTCTACGAAAATGGTCCTTTTCATATTACCAAGGACTTGTCTCTTACATGGAATGATTACGGCTGGGATCAGGTACCCTTATTCAATTTCCATGTTTCCTTTATGGAAACTCTTATAAACTTACACCAAACTTCTTTTCTTCTTTGTATCAACAACTTTTTCTTTTTCACATTTTGCAGGCATCAAATATTATATTCGTGGACCAACCAACTGGGACAGGTTTTAGTTACTCTTCTGATAAGAGTGACCTTCGTCACGATGAAACCGGCGTTAGCAATGATTTATATGACTTCTTGCAGGTAACAGTATTAAAGCTCCTTCCTTTCATTCCATTTCTCTGAATATAAGACATTATCAAATTGTGTATACTGAATTAATTTTACTATAATGTCAGGCGTTTTTCAAGGCTCATCCAGAGTTTGTTAAGAATGAGTTCTATATCACTGGAGAATCATACGCTGGACACTATATTCCTGCACTTGCATCACGGATTAACCAAAACAATAAAATGAAACAAGGAATCCATATAAACCTCAAGGTCGGGCAAGGATAATATTACTGATTACTTTGTCTTGGTTTTTCAATTGCTTGTATTGACTAATTTGATATAACAGGGTATTGCTATTGGTAATGGATTAACAAATTCTCCAATTCAATACGAAATATACCCAGAATTTGCGTTACAGAACGGACTAATTACCAAGAATGAGTCAGATGATATCAGCAAGTTAATCCCAAACTGTGACAAAAAAGCTAAAGCCTGCGGTAGCGAGTTCTTTTCCATTTATCACTCATTTCACATCCTTTTTTACTGATGTAAATTGTTTCACCTTGTGTTGTTTGTGTTTTAATTTTCAGAATCTCGTGGTGGGATAATTTGTGAGGATGCATTAGATGCTTGTGAAGCAATTTTCGATAGAATATTGTCTATTGTCGGTGATCTTAATGTAAGCTGTCCAGAAATAATAATAGTAACTGTTTGAGAAAAATGACGTAGGTAGTTGGGTTTGCTTGATGTATTATTAATTGTGGTGTATGAAAATTGCAGTACTATGACATTCGAAAGAAATGTGTGGGACCTTTATGCTATGACTTCAGCAATGTGGAGAAGTTGTTAAACTCAGAGAAAGTGAAGAGTGCTTTAGGTGTGAGGAAGGAGTTGAAGTATGTTGCATGCAGTACAGCAGTGTATGACGCTATGCTGCAAGACACCATGAGAAATCTGGAAGTGTTTCTTCCTGGTCTTCTTGAGGATGGGATAAAGATGCTTGTGTATAATGGGGAAAAAGATCTGATATGCAATTGGCTTGGTGAGCCAACTTGATTCATCTGAAGAAAATTGGTTTTGTGTTGAAAAAGCTAATGAGCTGGTGATGATTTGATGTGGTTTTGATTTTTCAGGGAATTTAAGGTGGGTCAATGCCATGAAGTGGTCGGGCCAAAAGGGATTTAGGGCATCTCCTACAGTGAAATTTGTGGTTGATGGTGCAGAAGCAGGGACTCTAAACAGCTTCGGACCTCTCTCTTTCCTCAAGGTTTGTGTTCGTTTAAGTTCAGGCTCTCTTATTTATCATAAACAATACCAGACTTTTCAAAATATCTTATTTGTTTACAATTTTATTTGATGCTACCAACAGGTGCATGATGCTGGACATCTGGTACCTATGGATCAACCTAAAGCTGCACTACAGATGTTGGAAAGGTGGATGGGAGGGAAACTGACGAAATAAATACTATATAATTAGTGTTCCTCCTTATTCATATACTCGTCTCAAAACCAAAACCCGACATCATTTTACATGGATAGTGATCAAATGATTTGTGTATACTTGATTTTCTCGATAAATTCAAGAGTGAAATTCTGTTCATGTAATAGTCACCTTTTGTTTTAGATTTAGACAATTATAATTTTACAAAAAAAAAATTTATATCCATTTAAAATCATTTTTCATTATTTTTCCCTTTCTGTTTTTCTTTATAAATTCAAAAATTCGATTTTATAAAGACCACTTTATTCTGAATTGTCAAATAATTATTATTATTGGTGTAAAATAATTTTTCCATTAGTATTAAGTCTGACATTAAAAATATCCATAAAAAATAATTATAAATAGACCAAATTTTGTTTTAAGAAAAAAAACAATAATAATGTTATCTAAAAACAGATTAATATTTTTATATCATAACTGAATTGTACACATCAAATAATAACAGAAATTATATAATTACATTATAAAATTTCATACATATAATACCAATTTTCCTTTGTTTAATTTTTTCAGGTTTTTCAAAAACAAATTCAAAATAAGTGAAAAATGTTGACTAGTTTAATTAATTTGGTTTAAATTATCATGTTAAACGAAATTCACAAACTCCATAGTATAGACCACAAAACCCAAAATGTAGAGGTCAAATAATAAAATAATTAGTATAAAAGGTTTTCCAATATACTTTTATTAATATTGTTGATTAATATTTAACGAAAATATAACTTTTTCAAGGATTTTACTTCTCATTTAATGGATTAATGTGTGTTATTGATTAATATTTAATAAAAGTATACTTCTCATTCTCATTTAATGAGCTCTATTGATTGCTTCCTCAGTTATTTTATAAGTTCTTTATGACTGCAATAAAAGAATACGAACAAATTTCTTAACTCTATTAAATATTTACAAGTTATTATTATTATTATTATTATTATTATTATTATTATTATTATTATTATTATTATTATTAATAATAATGCTTATAAACTTTAAAGATTTTGGATTATTGACAACCTAATTGATAATAATTGTCTTAAATTGATCAGAGATAATCATTCTACTACGTACTAACAATTGGGTGGATTGGTAACAATTCATTCAATCTCAAGAGTAATGTTTGATTGTATTTGTGTGGTATGATTAATCGTTTGACCATGATGTAATATTGACGAGACAGTCGTATATTATTATAATTATTATTATTATTATTATTATTATTATTATTATTATTATAATAAAAATAATATAGTGGTAAGAAAGAGAGTCTTTGAAGATGTATATTTTTTTTATTAAAATGAATAAAAGAATATTTTAATTGATATAAATACTTTATTTTTGGATGTGACTGTTTTTACGTGAGAAATATTTAATAAGTATTTACGGTTTATTAATCTGAACTAATAATTAATACTATTTTATATGAATATAATTATTTTATAATTTTTTTAAATATAGGTTAAATTTAACTTTGTTAATCGGTTTGGAGATTAAGTTTACTTGTAATTCATTATGAATAATCTTTTTTATAATGTTTTAATATTTTTTATTTAAATAAGTTACATATTTATGTATATATTTACGTATATATTTACTATTTTTAATTATATAGATTGATGCTTTTTTATGCTTTTGAAAAAGAACGAACAATAATTTTTTTACAACATTTTGATATTTTTACAATGCGTAGAGGAGGAGATATATCCTTACATTAGATTGCATGCAAATATTTTTTTTAACAACTTTTTTTTACAACATTTTGATAATTTGTGATTGATTATTTTAAATATTTTTTTAAGATGAATTTAAATAGACTAAGAAAATAATAACATGTAACTGTTGTAAAAAAAATATTATAAAAATGTTGTTAACGGTCCATATTGGAATGAGAGCTTAAATGTTTCACCTTTTCTATTTAAAAATAAAATTCTGTGACTAACATTTTTACTGAACCACGTCATTCCAAAAACTCTATTGGACAAAAAACATTTTAAAAACTTATTTGAGACTTCCAACAAAAATAGAGATATTTGAAATGACCAAACCTAATTTAAAACTTAATTAAATTGATAGAACAAATTTTGATTATAAAAAATTAGTTAAAAACACTTGAATTAAGCTGTTTTGTATTTGTGCATAAAAAAATGTAAACAATTATAATAAAAAAAATGTAATGTTTTTTTTTAATAGAAACTCCACTTAAAAAAAATACTCAAATTTAAAAATGGTTTAAAACTTAATTAATTATAAAATAATCATAAACACGTATAGAAGTCTGCCATTAAATAAACAGGTTTGTCGTCATGTGAAGTAGTGAAACTGCTATGAAATTTTGCATTCGGAAATACAAAACGCCAAAAAGCGCTTTAATTACTTTGCCCAACCTCTGCTATAAATTCATAACCACATCGTCACGGTCTTTGAATAATCGCGAAGAACATGGCAATGGCATCAACACCAGAACTTTCCATAGTCTGTCTCTCTGTTGTGTTGTTTTTCCTCTCGCTTTCTTCTTCTTATGCAATCTCTCATGGCCTCAACCATGACCCTGCCACCTCACCACACTTACACTCACATGCACAAAAACTCATACGAAGCCTTAACATATTCCCAGAGGAATCAATTAACATCATAGAGGATGACCATGCTGGTTTTGTCCCTGGTCAGATCGTCGAGAAGAACTTCTCGTTCCTTGGTCATTCTGGCCCTTCTGTTGAAGACCTTGGTCACCATGCAGGCTACTATTCACTTCCTCGTTCCAAAGCTGCAAGGTAATTAATATATATAAATCTATCTATATGCAACCTTCTCATAATACTATCATGATAATAAATCTTCCTTTTTGAGTGGCATGCAGGATGTTCTACTTTTTCTTTGAATCACGAAAGAACAAGAACGATCCTGTTGTGATATGGTTGACTGGAGGACCAGGATGTGCAAGTGAATTAGCTTTGTTCTACGAAAATGGTCCTTTTCATATTAACAAGAACTTGTCTCTTAGATGGAATGATTACGGCTGGGATCAGGTCCCCTTATTCAATTTCCATGTTTCCTTTATGGAAACTCTTATAAACTTACACAAACTTCTTGTCTTCTTTGTATCAACGACTTTTTCTTTTTCTCATTTTCCAGGCATCAAATATTATATTCGTGGACCAACCAACAGGGACAGGTTTTAGTTACTCTTCTGATAAGAGTGACCTTCGCCACGATGAAACCGGCGTTAGCACTGATTTATATGATTTCTTGCAGGTGATTACATAAAGTCCCTTGTTTTATATGTATCTGAATACAAGATAGCAATATCATGGGTATAAACAAGATCTTCTAATTCATTTTACTATAATTGCAGGAGTTTTTCAAGGCGCATCCTAATTTCGTTAAGAATGACTTCTACATCTTTGGTGAATCATATGCTGGACACTATGTTCCTGCACTTGCATCTCGGATTAACAGTGCAAATAAACAAAAACAAGGACTTCATATAAACCTCAAGGTCTTACACAATGTCTTATATATATGACTGGGAAATGTTAATGAATGAAATGATGGTTATAATTGTCTTGTTGGTTTTGCTTGCATTGATTCATTCCACATAACAACAGGGTCTTGCTATCGGTAACGGGTTTACCAATCCTGCAATTCAATACGAAGCATACCCAGATTTTGCATTACAAAGCAGAATAATTACAAAGGCTCAGTACGACATCGTCAGAAAGTCAGTCCCACTCTGTGATCGAGCCATTAAAAATTGCGGTACAACTTTCCCATTTGTCACTCCCATTCCTTTCTACCATGGTGTTTCACGTTGTGATGTTGTTTGTGTATGATTTTTCCGAAACTGATCTAGGTGAAAAGAGCTGCCTCCTTGCGTTAGAAATTTGTGAAAACATACTCGGTCGTATACTGTCTTTTGCCGGCAACATTAATGTAAGTAGCAAAATAATGAAAGAACAGAAGCTACTTAACTGTTTAGTTAATTATCTCATTCTGCTGATACACAAACTGCAGTACTTTGACATCAGAAAGAAGTGTGAGGGGAGTATGTGCTATAACTTCACAAACGTGGAGACGTTGCTAAACATGCAGAAAGTGAAGAGTGCTTTAGGTGTGAGGGGTGACTTGAAGTATAACTTATGCAGTATAAAAGTTCATAATGCTATGGCGGAAGACACGATGAGAAACCTGGAAGTGGGGATTCCTGCTCTTCTCGAAGATGGAATCAAGTTGCTGGTGTATGCTGGGGAAAAAGATCTCGTATGCAATTGGCTTGGTGAGCCTAGTTGGTTCATTTGAAAGTTGATGTTGTGTTGATATAAGAATTTGAATTGTTGATGTTGTTCTGATTTTGATAGGGAATTCAAGATGGGTTCATGCCATGAAGTGGTCAGGCCAAAATGCCTTTGGAAAATCTCCTGTTGTGAAATTCATGGTTGATGGTGCTGTAGCAGCTTCTCTTAGAAGCCATGGACCTCTCTCTTTCCTCAAGGTTTTGTGATTAGGGTTGCATTGTTGAGTTACACTGATAATTTCACTTTTTTTTGTAACTTTATTTGTATGATGTTTCAACAGGTACATGAGGCTGGGCACTTGGTCCCTATGGATCGACCAAAAGTTTCGCTTCAGATGTTCAAACGTTGGATGGGAGGGAAAATGAAAATCAAAGGAGATAATTAAACATAAACCAAACACCATGTAACAATCACAATTATTTTGGGTTTTGTGGAGATTTATACAGTTTTTCTGAATAAAGATCATATGATTCTACTTTTGCTTTTGCTCTATGCTAAAAATGTCGTTATAGAATAAACAATTAGACATACTCAACACTAAATGATTAGTGTTGTGTCTTTTATGATATTGTAAAGTACCAGTAAAACATCGTTAAAACTAGATTAAACCAATTAAGTGGTTGAATCGAACTGGAGTATTGATGAGTCGTAAGTGAAGTCATGTGTACATGTAACATATATAGTTTTAGGAATCGATATTTTAACAACTTTTTTAACAACGGATCATATGTGACTGTTTTATACGGACTAAAATAAGTTATCACACAGACATTGTTATTAAAAAAATTGTAAAAAAAATTATTAAAAGAACCTTTTCCATCGTTTTAAAGTCCTTTTATCTACTTCAGGTGATTCTGGTATAAGACTACAACATGTCGGTCCCTCTCTATCTAGTTCTAATGCTTTAGCTTTTTGAAGCTTCATTAGCAAATGGTTTATTTGACAAATAATGGGACTAAATATAAACTTATTTTTGCATAACAATAAGTTGCTTTTTATCAATAACAAAAAAATATATTAGTAGAACGAATAAACTATTTCAATCTAAAATATTTATGTACAGTAACTAAAGATTGATAATACAAAAATATAAATTCCACCTTTCCATTCGACGACATTTTCCAATTTATAATCAAATTCATTGTAAATCACTCACTTTATAATAGAACAGTCTCTCCCACCTTGCAGCAAAAACCAATATTAAAAAACAAATAGATCACACATGAGATATAATGTCTTTTATTATTTTAATAGAGTTCAGGTAATTCTGTAGCTCTATGACTCTGATTTTTATAAAAAAGTATAAAAAAAAACATGATCTGATTATCCACATTTCCTTAAGTTTGTTACTTCTTTTACGAGTTAAAAAAATTGGATCTATTAAAAAGTAAAAACCATAGTACATAAATTATTTAGAGCTAAAGAAAAGCATGCATCTTTGAGTAAATATACTAATACAGGGAATTTAATGGCACATACAACATCACATCATTTTATAGGAGTGAAATTGTTTTTAATGTCGAGAAGATTCTCATATAAACTGCAATTTCTCACATCGTGAATAACTAAGAACAATAATATCATAGGATTTTTGGATGATACAATGCTCAAATTCAAATAAGAATATACAGTTGTTTGTAGTCACCGTCACCAACATAATATGGTGTATTTTTGTAAATAAAAATAATTACGTAAAGGGGAAAATAAGCATGGCGTGATTAATTAATTATTCAAATATCAATTCTACTTAATGTGCTGTTTTCCTTACATAATAACTAACTTTATATATATATATATATATATATATATATATATATATATATTTCATATATCTAAGTTGATGAGGTGGAAAGCATCTTTTTGATTGTCCATGAATAATTTGAAAAACTTTCTATACATTTTATCTTTTTCTTTTCCCTATCAAATCACCATTTTAGGCATTCACAATTCTTTTCCTTTAAAACACTTATTTACAGCTTCTAAAAAATATTTTAAACATATATTTTTTAAACTGTAGTTAAATAATTTTGCATGAATAAATCATGCAAAATTTTACAACAAAAAGATTAACTTATACAAATTAGTTGATCTACATCAAAATTTCTTCATGTATTAATTTGTAATGCATATTAATCTTAATTGTGCAAACGAAAAATATCACGAATGAATTATAAACTTAAATGAACATATAGTGACTATATATAATAACTTCAATTTAGAAGAGTTAATTAGCTTGTGGATGAAGGTGGAAAAGTCTATGTTGACCAGACATGACGATTTAATGTTGTTGTTTACGATAATGAGAATCAAATAAAGTTTGTCTAATCTTCCTGCTATTTAGGGTGAGAAGTTAGCTGTTTTTGGCTGTTGCAAAGTCTCTTTTGGTAAATCCGTTTATGATGTTATTTATTTTATCTCTGAATAAAACAAATCTTCTTGTCTCTCAGTTTCCTCAACGGATATATCCTATTTATTCTAGAGAGTGTTAGTTAATACCCTGATAAATGATATTTTCTGACACAAATTTTTTACATTTATTTTATATTCCTTTTTTACATTTATTTTATATTATCTTTCTTTATTTTTTACTTTTTATTTTAAAATATAAAAATTTATTATTTTATAATCATTTTATTCTTATAATAATAATGTGTTAAATAATGTATGGAAATGTATATCACTCTAACCATTACTCTCCAAATATCAACATTTTCTGCATTGGGAATGTGTTATAAATTCAGAGTCATTGCCTTGCCTTTTTCACAAATGCAAACAACATGGCATTGCCATCATCACCATCCTCCAAACTCTATCTTCTATTGATCTTCTTCCTGTCACTTTCTTCTTCTTTTGCTAATTCTGATCCCTCTCATGACCCAGCCAACCTACCACAATCACATGCAGAAAACCTCATAAGAAGCCATGACGTATTTCCGAAGGACTCAGTTAACATCATAAAAGGTGACGATGATGGTTTTATCCCTGGTCAGATAGTGGAGAAGAAGTTATCGTTTCTCGGTGATTCTGGCCCTTCTGTTGAAGACCTTGGGCACCATGCAGGCTATTATTCACTTCCTCATTCCAAAGCTGCAAGGTAAATATATCACTTCTCTGGAATGACTGTGTTGTGACACGAGATTGAGAGTATTTGAGTAAATGCAATTTGATGAGTCAAAGGGCCGTAAAAAAAGCTCTTCTTCATGATGATTATCGAGCTTCTTTTTTAGTTCTCGATAAATTTAAAGTCAAACGATTGTGACCAGTGGTGTATGACTTGTACGACATGCAGGATGTTCTACTTTTTCTTTGAATCACGGAACAGTACGGATGATCCAGTTGTGATATGGTTGACTGGAGGACCAGGGTGTGGAAGCGAATTAGCTTTGTTCTTCGAAAATGGACCTTTCCATATTACCAGTAACTTGTCTCTTACATGGAATGGTTACGGCTGGGATCAGGTCACCTTATTCAATTTCCATGTTTCCATTATCGAAACTGTTATAAACTTAACACCAAACTTTTTTTCTTATTAGTATCAACCACTTGTTTTTTGTCATATATTGCAGGCATCAAATATTATATTTGTTGACCAACCCACTGGGACAGGTTTTAGTTACTCTTCTGATGATAGTGACATTCGACACGATGAAGCCGGCGTTAGCAATGATATTTATATGATTTCTTAGGTGATAATTAATTATATAAGAATCCCTTGTTGCATAATGTATCCGAATACAAGATAAAAATATCGTGTTGTGTATAAATAAGATTTACCAATTCATTTTAATTACTATAATTGCAGGAGTTTTTCAAGGCGCATCCTGATTTCGTTAAGAATGACTTCTTCATCTTTGGTGAATCATATGCTGGACACTATGTTCCTGCACTTGCATCTCCCGGATTAACCAAGGAAATAAACAAAATCAAACACTCCATATAAACCTCAAGGTCTTGCACAATATATATATATATATNATAATTTATCTTCTTACTCCAAGTTTAGGTCATATTTTGGTCCATAATTTTTCTTGTACTATTCAGTCCACGAGTGTCACCTAAAGAAGATACTTCGACGTTCAAGTCAGTGTTTGTTTGGCATAAATGCGTAGTAAAAGTAACCAACTACCTAAATATCAAACCTATATTCATAGACTTTCGTGATGAACTTCTGATTATGACTGACCCAATTACGGCTCATACACTAATAACCTGATTTAGGGTTAACCTAATTATTCTTGATAGTTAATTATATTTGGTCTGACCGATTGGTTCATTGGTTGTTTCGTTGCTTGGATGGTCGACCGCTCGGTCTATGACTGATCAGATGGTCAGACAGTACATTGTATAACAACTTAATTAGAGATAATGTGCTAGTAGAGGAATTTTGTCAAAGTGTTTGAACCCACCTTTCATGTAAACAATATTAAACAATATTAGATAAAAAAGGGTTGTAATGTGTGGTATTTTTTGGGAGTTGTGAAAATAAAATAGAAATTTTAAGCTTTTCACAAGTGGAAAACCAACTCTTGTAGCAATCTCTTCAACAGTTAATGGGTTAATAGATGGAGAAAGAGTCTTTATATGTTCCCATGCCCAACACTACAAAAGAAGCAAACACCTTCTAATGTTTTCTCGGTTAAGGCTAAATCTATGATCTAAAACACGATATAAAGACCATTAATATTGAAAAGATATTATTGTTATATTGAGAAAAAAGAGCAACGATCAATCTGCAATATGTCATGCGCAAAGATTTGATCAACAAAATTCAAAATTTGTTGTTCAAGAGATTATCACTCCCCAACTAGGGCACCACCCTATATCATACACCGTTAAATTAAATAAATGGTGGTGTGATTATTGCGAGTTTTCATCATTTATCCATTTTGTCATTTACACTTGACCCCATCTACAATTTCTACAATATTTTCAAGGCTTATGAGATCCAATTCCATTCAATGTAAAACTAAGATTATTGGTCTACTTACATCGAATCACGTTTCATACCTGATCTCATTATGAGACATCACCAATTAGCAATGTCAACAATTAATTGTATCTGAAACAAAATCGATGAGTCAATTGCACTGAAGTCGTCACATGTAAGGACAACTTCAACTCAAAATCAATCAATTTGAAGTCGTCATACCCATGAATGACTTTAGTTCAACTTAATTTTTGGCAAAAATGTCTATCTATTGAGGACTTCAGTGAATATTATTTTGCAAGAAGTTGTTACACCCAATAATAATTTGTGTAATTTATTTTTAAAGATGTCGTTAATGACTTAGTTAAAGATGTTACACCTCCAACATCTCATCTTGCATTTTCAAAAATTTCATTTTTAACCTTATGACATCTCCACCTTCAACTTTTCTAAAAAAT